CCCCCCCCGCCCCGTTTCCCGTCTGATGTACCTCATACCGCGCGCCCCACTAACAGTGTTACCAGTAGAGTTCTTTGTTCCACAAGGAAAAGATCGAGAGCAACATGGCGGTTCAACATACTCACTCGTCTGGTTTTGTTATACTGGTAAAAAAAAGTGTTTCATGCTGCAGAGGGCACACCGTATGGTTCCCACTGATGGCATAGAACTGTGTGGGTCCAGGTGTGCAAAATTTAGACATTTATAAAACGTCTAAAATTTGCCAATGACGCAAGTGTGCAACAGCAGTTAAACACCATGCAATGTGCAAAAACATGTCTTGCACACTAGTAAAAAAAATGTAGAAAGTTGCACTCCGCATGTATAACACGACATGGTGTCAAACTGAATTCGACGTAGATTGGTGTGTAAACATTCGACATTTCGTAGACGTTTATTTAACTAACATTGTAGGTTTCCACACTACGCACTATTGATGAATTTCGTCATTTCACGATAATAATCTGTCACGAATAGTTCGTAATTAAATTTAACAAGTATTTCGGTTCCGAACTGTTTGAAGCGTATGAAACAAACTATTCGTGACATCACAATTTTCCAGTGTCAATTACTCTGGATATTACAGTGTTTGTTTCAAAAATTCTTCTGTCCAGGATCGTTCTTTTAGGACAACAACTGAGTAACTAACTGTTCGTCATTTTACGAATGTATTCGTTACTTTAAAATAACGAAGAGTTTGTGTAAAAAAAATTAACAGGCCATTTTTCGTGAAATTACGAAATAATTTCCAACAGTGTACGAAATGTGCAATTGGGTGAAACACCGTGTAATGTGGGAAATCATTCGTTGCACATAAAAGTGCACAGTCTTTGTAAATGAGACAAAGTTCTGAATGAGAGCATATTCATCTGAGAGCCCCTGACTCGCCCCTCACAATCCTTATCCGGTGATTTTTTATCAAATGAAAGTGCTGCCACTAGAACCAACTTCGGCCGGCTCAAATCACCTTCCACGCTGAAACTACGTTATCTCCTCAGCCAAACATAAGTATAACCTGTGTCGAACGCCCAGGCGGCCACACTCTCACCTTGTAGAACGAGGCACTGCTGGGGGCTGCGGCGAGGGCACTGCCGATCTTCCTCACCAGAAGGACCGCCTCAATCACTGACACCGCCGAATCCCATACTTGTGTGGTCTCGGTGCAGAGCAGGTTGGCGAGACGGCGGCGGCTGGCGACGGCACGGCGGCGAGGTGAACAACACCGCTGATGCTCCTTTGCGTCTCACTCGCACGGCGGTGCTTGACACATGTCACCGCGGCAGTACACCTGAGTTCACTATCACAACAGTCGATGCACTACGATAGCGGCTAACCTAGCGCGGCGACGAAACGAACGGGGGGAGGAGGCTCTTCACACGCCGGCCGCTGCCTCGCCAAACACACACCTCGTACGCAGGCCGCAGGCGGGCGCGCGCATGCAGACTGGGCCGGCGGCGGGCTGGACCGGACTGGGCTGTGCCGGGCCGGGCCGGGCGGGCAGGCGACGGGGCGGGCGGCTGTCCAGCCACTCCCAAAGTCACACCACCGCACCACCACTACCTACCACCGCGCGCGCGGGAAGCCAGCGCTATTTGCACGACATGTCACTAATTGCACGCACACACACACATACGCGCGGGGTCGCCGTCGCCCTCGCCCGGCATGCAAGCTCTGTGCGTCCACTGACTATGCGCCCGAG